AAAAAAAAAAAAAAAAAAAAAAAAAAAAAAAAAAAAAAAAAAAAAAAAAAAAAAAAAAGATTTCAAAGAGAAATATCATTGGGTATGAGACTAAATAATTAAAGCTTCATTGAAATGAAGATTATGGTTAAAAAAACGCACTTACCGGAATTTTGCTTGTTCTCAAGAACTCGAGCAACGCTTCAAGGGCTCCGAGAGTCGACGCCTGCACATAGACACCTCGCTCGGCTAATTTTATCTTACCCAAGGCATGAGACAGTTCCTTGGCTATTTCTTCCTTCAATATTTCAACTTCGTCCGGTTTCTGAGCCACCACCAAATTTAATCCTAAAATTTGGAAGATATATTATTTAATACCACCACGTCCATAGTTAAAAGGCATAGGATATTTGACAACTAATGTTTATACCTGCTATGGCTTTTTCGAGCTCTTTGGCAGCTATTTTCACTCCCTGAGCTGCTTCGATTTCTTTGTGTTCTACATACGCATTCTGCCAACAGGAATTTTGATAAATTTATGTAATTTCAAGAATGTCACAACTAAACTATCAACAACAAATAAATAGATTACCTTAACTCGTAGCTCTTTCAAAGGTTGTGGCATGAGGAGCGCACGGATTTGAGTAACTATTGGTCCATCTGTACCTGCCAGAATCATCGTGTCACCCTCGCGAAGGGTCCCATTGACTAGAATACAGTCTATCGTTGTACCAAGGCCGGGTAAGGCTTTGACTTCTAGCACTATGGCATGCAACTCTTCACAAAACATAAGTCGCTTGGCCAATGGACCTTGACAGGCGTCGACTATCAATCCTAGCAAGTTACCCATACCCTCTCCTGCAACGAAATTTGAGAGTTATATCATTATGATTGTAATAATTGATTTGTTCTGTGGTACTAATAAAAAAAAATGTCTTACCCGTTACAGCACTCGTTGGAACTAAAGACACGTAACTTCGAGAATCCGGATTTTCGTAGAAGAGTGCAGCATTAAGGCCTTGCTCAGCAAATTGGACGATTATATCCTTGGAGCGTTTTTCGAATTCTCGTTGGGTATTGATTGCTTGAGCTTTAATGATGTCTTGCACGTCTTTGCGGCTCATCGTTTGCCAATCGTAAAGTCTGAACGAAATTTAAATTTTCAACTTGTTTTTTGTTAAGAGAAGAAAAGGTCAGTAGCCCTAAATGTTGCTGATAAATTTAATACCTGTCAATTTTATTGAGAGCCACAACAAACGGACATTTTTTAGCTTTCAAAAGGTTGATACTTTCTATGGTTTGAGGCTCTAGGCCATGCATAATATCAACTACTAGAATAGCTATGTCACAGAGAGACGATCCTCTGTTTCTTAGATTACTGAAAGATTCGTGACCAGGTGTGTCGATAATCAATAGTCCAGGAATCTTAAACTTTTTGTCGGCAAACTAAAAAAAAAAAAGGAAAGACAAATCTTTATACCTTTATTACAAGTGTCAAGAGACTTTTTAAGTCTAGTAAAACCTACGCCTTTAACGTGTTTTGTCGACTCTTGAATGGCTGAAATGGGCACATTGGTTGCACCGATTTGCTGGGTAATGCCACCAGCTTCCCCGTCCTGTACATTCGTCCTTCTCAACTTGTCTAGGATCTTTGTTTTGCCAGTATCTACGTGACCGAGTACGCAGACAACAGCTGCTCGCAATCTATCGAGGGTGCGTTTCTTTTCCGCTTCGTTCTTACGGTTCTGGATCCTCTCACGTATCTGCTGTTTCTTACGCTCAGGATCTGGACGTTTCCCATCACTTTCCTCTTCGCTCTCGTCATCTGAGTCAGAATCTGAGGACTCACTTTCCGAATCAGATCCTTCTGCCGCAGAGGAAGATTCCTCTTCCTCAGATTCCTTAGCAGCAGTTTTAGAACCCTTGACGGCTTCTTTTTTCTCTGCTGATTCCGATTTGTCTGAAATAATATTAGTGTTAACGAAGTACAATTACAATTGAAAATATAAAATTAGCCAAGCAACGAACGCTTAACAAACAGAGGGAATGATTGATATTTAATAAAGTTTGCACCTTCTTCGGGTTCTTCTTCACTACTTTCTGCATCCCAAGCATCTTTGAGACCATCATCTTCTTCCTCTTTCTTTTCTTCAGCTTTTTCCTCTTTTTTATCGACAATCTCCACCTGCACTTTATCAGTTTCAGCTTCCTCAGCTTTATTTTCCTCTTTTTCTTCTTTGCTACTCTGCTGCTTTAACTTACTTGCCCTTACTCTGGTTCCTTGAACAGATTGTAAAAATAATTTAGAATTAAAATAAATGAGATCAACAATTTTTCTCTATCCTTGACAATATATTGTATCACCTGGTCTTTGTTTTTTCTCTCCAACTTCTGGTACCTCGAATCCTTGAGCTTTCAATGCTTCCAACATAGCTTGAGCCCTAGCATTTTCGAACTTCTGTTTGCTGCTCAAAAGCTTTCCTTCGGCTTTTAATTTGTCTTTCCTCATTTTTTCTTTCAACTTTTTCTTTTCTTTTTTTTCCTGTTCTCTTTTCAGTTGCTCCTCGCGGAGTCTCTCCCTTTCTTCCTCTTGACGTATCCTTTCTTCTTCTTCACGTTTCAATTGTTCCTCTCTTTCTTGTTCTAATTTTAAAGCTTCCTTTAACTTCAGGATAGCCTTTGCACCAGGTCCCTTAACTTGATGAAAAAAAATCACACATTTTTAAATTAATGTTTTTTTTAATATGATTTTTCCGCAGCGAAAATGGATTAAAATGTAAAGTCTACCTTTCTTTTTAGGATCGTCTTTTCCGTCCTTCTTTTTTTTCTTTTTTTCATCGTCATCATCATCCTCTTCTTTATCTTCAACTTTTGGTTCCTCTGTAGCTTCTTTTTTTGCAGGTTCTGTAAGGTCACCACCTTTAGGAGCTTCAGTCTTATTCATTGCCTCCTACATAAAAATGTTATTATTATGTTATCAAACAGTACGTAACTTTTTGAATTTAAAACAAAAATAATTCTTACAGCCTTTTTTTGAGCAAGTTTCTTTTGCTTTTCCCTTTCTTTCTTTTCCTTTTTTTTTTGCGCCGCAGTTTTCACTGTACCTTCTTCTTGTCCTTCTGCAGTTTCATCAGCTTCCTTTTCCTTCTTTGGCTGCTTACCCTTCTTTTTCTTTTTCTCCCCTTCATCTGACTCTTCTTCTGGTTTTGGCTCTTCCACCACTTTAAATTCCTCCAAAATTTTATCAAAGTCATCATCATCGTCACGCTTTTTCTTGGCTGCAATCAATGATTGATGAAAGAGCTTTATTTTTTGTGGAAACAGCTTAAAATTGAATTATCAATTAATTTTTTGATTGTATGACAAAGATAAAGTTGTACAAAAAAAAGTAAAAAAAAAGTTCTTTAATAGAATTTATTTCATCGTATTTTTTATTGAAAAGTAAAAGTTGTGTTCAAAACTAGCTCTTTAGTTTTAAATGAACGTTTAGGAACTACAGACAAACCTTTCTTGCTCTTCTTGGATTCTTGAGGCTGGGGCTTTTGTATCTTTGAAGATTTACTGTTATCTCTACTTTCTGTTCTTTCGGACTCATCATCAGATGGAGGAGATGCTTGATTGTCATCATCGTCATCATCCTGATCATCTTGCATCAACATGGCGAAACTAGCTTTTGATGCTAAAAAGTTTCAAGATTATATACTCTGAAGACATAGTACTAATTGTTTTTTTATCAATCAAACACCTCACCTTTAGATTTTGTCACTGGCTTTACCGTTTTTGTTTTAGTAATATGAAAATCATCATCATCATCATCCAAGTCAGAATCTTTCTTTACTTTTTTTTCTTTCGAGTTAGTTTTAGGCTTAGATATCCCAATGTCCATCTCTTGATCAGAATCATTGTTCTTAGATTTTTTTTTAGCGTTTGACTTGTTTTTAATTTTAGTTTTTGGTTCTTCGTCTGCGGATGCATCCGATTCAACAGTTTTTTTGCTTTTTTTGCCTTTGCTTTTTGCTTTTTGATTTTGATTGTCAGACAAATCATCATCCGAATCAATTGCTTTTTTTCCTTTCTTTCCTTTGCTTTTCGGTTTCTGACTTTCATCGTCAGACATACCATCAGAATCGACTTGCTTCCTGTTTTTTTTCTTATTTTTACTTTTAGATGGTTTCACATCATCTTCTTCGTCATCCACATCTATATCTTCTTTACCTTTTTTCGATTTGACTTTTAATTTTTGATTTTCATTGTCTGATTCATTTTCATCAGACTCAATTGCCAAAGCAGCAAATCCTTTTTTGACTGACTGATTCTTAGTATTTTTCTTCTTACTTTTAGGTGCTTCTTCAGAATCCGAACCCAGTTCGATTTTTCCCTTGAGTATATCTTCATCATCCGAGTCACCTCCCTTTCTCTTAGATTTTTTGTCCTTCTTCTTGGATTTTTCTATTTTGAGATCTTCAAGATTTTCAGCCAATTCATCAACTACAGCAACTTTTTTTTTGTCTTTAGATTTTTTGGACTTTACAGGCTCATCGATTATACTGTTTTCTACTTCCAGATCACTGCCACTGCAAAATAGATACAAATTACAAAAATGAATTATTAGGCAATATAAATCTAAAATATTGTCAATCTTTAAGAATTCCACAATAGCTTATCAAGCACTTTATTTCTATACTAATTACGAAGATACTTTGATCTTTATTTTAATTCAAGCAAAGCACAAAAAAAAGGATTTTAGTACTGAAAATAAGTCAAGCACATCTTGTAACTGCAATGATTAGCTTCTATTTATTAAATTATTTGTCCTTAACTTTTGTTTGAGTAATTACGATTAGCCTTCTGAAGAATACAAACTAATTTCAATAACTTTTTAAAATTAAAAAATTTATGTCACTTTAACGATTTTTTATCTAGATTGGAACATTGACAGCTGTTATTTCATCGATTCACGAAAGCATTTATTAGTTGTTAACGATGTAATTACATTAAAATTGGTAAGAAAGTAAAATTGCATTGGAATCTCAAAAGAAGCAAAAGTCTACGACTCGAACAGAACTCAAATTTTCACGAAAAAAAAAAAGAAAGAAGACGTTAAGTACGCGACTTATTTTGAAAGCTTTGCATGTGATGCAGGTGAAAAAGCTGCGAATCGGAGGATTGTAGTGTTAAAAGTATCCGCGCAAGGTACACCTAACCTTTATCCTAAGCAGATGGCAAAATGTGAGCTCTGTTTTTTCGGGAAAAAGCTCTCAGAACTGCAAGCACGTATCATCAGCCCACTTAAGTAGCATGAGCGACCTTGAACTTCATAATAAAAAAAAACCTATTCAAGGTCATCCCGAACCCTTAAACGAGCAGACGATGCCTTAAGCTATTTTTCGAAAAGTATATATTATATGACATGCAAGTGCATCATAACAAAATGAAAAGCGAAAAAACAATTAGCCGGTTGAGCACGGGTTCATCAAGTTCAGGTAGAAACTCACAAATCGTCCTTGTCGGTGCGCTTGCCCTTCTTTGCCTTGCCCATCTTGCTTGCCTTCGTCTAATCTAACCTTACGGTGTAAAAATTTTTCCCTGTGCCTGTAGCCGTCCAGAAGCCCGCAACCTTTCCACATGAGACGTGCAATTTTGCCGTTGATTCGTCCTCTTGGTCGTTGTCTTCGTCGTCGTCGTCTCTTGCAGCTCGTCGCTTCCAGAGAACGCCGACACTCGCAATAACAACGATGAAAACAACTCCAAATGCTTTTTCCTCTTGCGATGCAGGTGATGGGCTGCAGGGGTCCAGCTGGCTGTGCTGATGCTGCAAGCTGCAGAACGTCGACTCCACGCGCGCATATGACAAACTTTTCGTGCTTTACTTTTCTCTTTTTTACTACTAAGCAATGCTGCTTCTACTTTTCACACCAAATATAAATTTAATAATTTTCAAGTCCGCAAAGTATAATGCAAACGCAAAGAGAGAGAATGTGCGGTCTCTGCACCTTCTTCTTGTAATTCTACTTATCCTACTTATATATATATATATATTATATATTTATTATGTGTATACACATAAGCACCATAAGCAGGGCGTCTGCTCAGAATCACGCAGTGTACCATCCAATTTTCGTCTCGAAGATATCTTAATTAATACACAATGAAAAAATGTTGAGACCGACGCACCAACTGCTGGTTAAAAAAATGTTGCTTATATGCTAAGCCTCTACTCTCTTTTTTTGCAATTTGTTGTATATATTTTGGTTATCCATTGATATATTCATTCAAATGAAAATTCACTGAGATTTATTTTTATATTTTTTGCTGGCAAGTTGTGTCTTTACAGGAAAATATCTTTATCTGAGGAAAGATAACGATCCTTTCAGACCGTGTGCTACAGTAGCGCTCTCCGACAACTTAAACATGACGCAAGATATCGTAAGACATAATTAAGTTAATTGTTGGTAAGTTGTCGGAGAGCATTACTGGAGAACACACCCAGAAAGTGCGTATCAGAGATCCGCATCAGACGACCTTCACAGGGTCCCTTGAGTTTCCCCTATTTGTTTGATTTGCTAAATTGTTTTCGCTGATTAAAAAAAAAACCATAGTTTTCAGGAATTATATTAATTTTTTTAATGGTATAGTGGGTGTATTTTCACATCTTAGCCAATTTACTGATATTTACAATGCAAAAAGATGTTTTGAAACGTCTGCCTTAAAATATATTGTGTAATTGCATGTCTGAATTGCATGTGTGTGTGCTTACTAATATTTTACGATTTACAATTTACGATTTGATATAGATTTGTACAGAAGCCGGGTCACGGCAAATAAAAACGCATAAGCACGCACAACGGCACAAGAACAAGTATGAATGCACAAAAACACGTACTTAGTAGATACGAGTGCATCCTGATGCATCGAATGCGCGCATACAACAAATTGCAAAGCAGACGGTTTCTATTTCATTTACTTAAGTATACAACCTGTTACATCGTTTAATTGTTTTCGGCTGTATTCCGCACATGATGCCAGCAGTTAATTAACCCAAAAATCAACCTCCTATATATTTATACTTTAAGAGGTAAATTTTCAGACAAAAATAGATTATAAACTTGCCGCAAATAGCATTAACAACTTCAACTTTTTATTTTGTATTTACGGAATAAGTTGCGGCTGGTTTATGTTTTATTACATGGCTCTACTGTAAATAGTAGTGATTATTTGGATTAGCGCCATCTAGCGGTCTTTATTTTTTGGCCAAAAGTGGCCCCTAAAATTTTGAGTCGTAGCAATCAAGATTAGAGCCATTTAGTCAAATATAAACCAGCCGCAACTCATGATGAAGCTATAAAATGAAAAAATAACGATACATGTGTTTTTGGCGGCAAGTAAACAATCTATTTTCTACCAAAAAATTGACCTCCTATGTGTTTATACTTTTAAAGATAAATTTTCGAGTAAAAGATGGATTGTTAACTTGCCGCTAAAAACACATGTATGATTATTTTCTTATTTTATAGCTACAATATGAGTNTAACGATACATGTGTTTTTGGCGGCAAGTTAACAATCTATTTTCTACCAAAAAATTGACCTCCTATGTGTTTATACTTTTAAAGATAAATTTTATAGCATAAAATAAATTGTTAGCTTGCCGCCAAAAACACATGTATTGTTATTTTTTTATTTTATAGCTTCATTATGAGTTGCGGCTGGTTTATACATGATTAAATGGCTCTACGCGCTGAAGCTCGGTTTCAGAATTTTGGGAGCCACTTTTTAGTTCAGAAATCCGCAACGCTAGATGGCGCTGATCCAAATAATTACAGTATGGAGCCATGTAATTAACTATAAACCAGCCGCAACTAATTTAGTAGATAGATAATTAAAAGTTAACATTTGATGTGCTATTTGCGGTAATTTTACAATTTATATTCTTGTCAAAAATCTATCTCTAAATGAATAAATATATAGAAGGTCGATTTTTGGACTTCTGGCACCATTTGCAGAATACAGCCGAAAACAATTAAACGATGTAACAGAGGCTGTATACTTAACTAAATAAAATAGAAACCGTCCTCCTTCAACTTGTTTTTGTGCGCGCTTCTGCTTTTTTATGTATGTCGTGACTGGACTCCGTAGATAAGTAGATTTGACTATCGACTATGCTGCAGTGCCTCTGGCTGATGCACTGCATACTTAAATTGCATACACAGTGTGACATACACTTCAACAGTGCACAATTGCACATACATGGCATGTATGTGTATGTACATAAACCAGCATAAACTCAGGCTAAATCATCAAGTACTTAAGTAAAAAGGGATCGGATCAAGACGAAAATGAAGCGCTAAACCCAAACGACGAACAAACGTGTTTCTGAAAGTACTTATACACACTTGCAAAAGAAGAGGTGAAGGTGGACTTGGACTACTTAGAGTGCAAGTAGTGTGTTTTGTGTGTAACAAGCGTGCTGTACTGATAGTGCTCGTGTGTTCTCGACTTGATGGACTTTCGGAGATAGAAACAACAGCCTGGACCACAACGACGACTGACACATCAACAATCATATTATTGTCATTGTTGATTTGCTCATCATAATCGTATTCGTCATTAAGTGTACCTACAACTCGTGTAGTCTTGCCCGTTACTTTTTCGTACATTTATTAATTTTACCATTAGATTGTGTTTTTGCACGTCGCGGGTGTTTTAATAAACAAAACAAAACAAAGAAGACATCGTTTAAAGAACACTACGACATAAATAAATATTATTGAACAGAGGATAACGACGACAACAACCGGACAGCATATTAGGCACGATGGACGCGGACGAGCTGGATCAGCGGATGATGCAGTCGTTCCGCTGCCTCGGCGTCGCTGACAAGGTCGACCTGGTGAAGCAGCTCAAGGCGGTGGCGGGCAGCCACCTTAACGACTCCGTGGCCCTGTTTTTCCTGGAGATGAACGACTGGTTAGTTGTTAAAAGAGGCCATTGACACTTCTGTTCTTTTTTTTCTTTGTTTTTCTTTTTCTCCATAATATGCATGTCTCTCCATTTCTCTCTCTCTCTCTCTCTCTCTCTCTCTGTTGTACACACCTATATATGGTATATATTTTTTTTTTACTAGCATCTCTAATCTTTGCTTGTTATCTGTTTATGGGTAGGTACATATAGTGTACCTATACCTATTTTTACGTTACAATGGCATACTTTATATATATTCACACAAGTGCACCCTGCAATTGCATATGTATGCTACATTCTATTTGTTGACATAACCTACATTACTTTATTCTGTATTCAAACTCTCTAATTTCTTGTCTTTTTTACAATTTTTCAATGTAGACGAAATTTGTAAGATTTGACCAATGGATTGAATCGGCTTGTCTTGTACGAGTCTTTTTTTTTCATTTGCTTATTCCTCATTCTTGATTGAAGAAATTCCTCAATTAGATTAATTCGATGAAGATAATATGATACTCTGTTCACACATATGTATGTTACTGTCTTATGCTTTCCTTTACAGCCATGCTGCAAAGCTACGTACTTATGATGTATTGCTTTCAGTGATTATTCTGCAAGACGTGGAAAAAAAAACTTTTAGATGTTTGCTGTGTGCTCATACAAACCATTTTTTCGTAATAGAGATAATACAAGAGATACTATGTTGAACCAAAAGTTATAATTATTAAGATTGACACTCAATATTTTGTTTCATTCTTTATTATACTAGTACATGAATGTAGTAGATCTTATTATAAAACTAAGTAAATAATTTCAATACAATAGAAGCAAACAAACTTATTGATACAGCTATTCATTACCACATAATGAATCAAATTAAGTTCCAGTCCGAATCACTTCCTTATCTTGTTAATATGCAATTCAGTCAACTTATGAAAGATTATCTTACTGTTTCAGGAATGTCCAAGCAGCAATTGGTAGTTATTTTGACTTTGAAGCGACGCGCAAGCTCCCCTGTATGACGCTTGTTTGTGATTCAACGATTGGCGAGGGAGAAGACGTTCCACCACTCACAAAATTCAGAAAAACGTGGCGTATTCAAAATAGTGGCACTGAAGATTGGCCTGAGGGTGTGTGTCTTACGTTTACAAATGGTGAACGAATGGGAGATTGCACAAGTGTGCCGGTACCTTGTTTACCAGCCAAAGACTCAATAGAAATCAGTATTGATTTCGTAAGTCCTCCAAGCGAAGGGCTTTACCAAAGCAAGTGGAGGATGACCACATCAAATGGTTCCTTCTTTGGGGGTAAGAGCATTTATACCTTACATTTCTGTAAATGTAGTCACAATTATTAATTGGTTTGGAATCTCAATAAAAAATGTTCTATTTTTTAACTTGTTGGTTTAAGTCGCAGATTTTCAATATTATTGGTGGCTACCATTATATATTCCATATTTTCAAAAAATCTTATACAACAATTCTTCTTCTCAGACGTCATATGGGTGATAATAACAGTGGAAAAAGGTGGTACCTTGGCACTAACTCAGCAACTTCACCTATTAAGTACTTCACAAGCGACAGATGAACAGATGTGATAGCCATAGCTAACAATGATTGTTGCGCGATAAGACGATTCTAAATTTTTTTAAATACTACAGTTATGCAGGTTTTGTTATTTAATCAATACAAATTTATAATTTTCTCTTTATTCGTAATTTTATGAAGAGATGTTTTACTCCTTTTACAGATGTATGAAATAGTAAGAGCTCTGTTGTTCCATAAGTTATGAAATTTTTATAAATAAAGGTTCAGCGATAGACTCTATTTATTATTAATAGATTGAAGAAAAATTATATTTATTTTATCACATTGTTATTTAAAAAAATTCAAGTTGGCCTAGATTAAGTCAAAATTTGGAATGATTTTATTTTACCTTTTTTTTTTAATGCCGATTTGTGAGTTGAGTTTACTTTAAACATTGATTGAAGTGAATCTAGAATGATTGTAATGTGTAGTCAAAATGCAAAATTATTGCCAATTTATACGAGATTTTTGTTTTCATTACACAGTTGAACATAAAAAATCTCTTTTGATGTAATATTTTGACTGCTGGTTTTGTAAAATATATATGAAGTCATGATTATAAAAATTGAAAAATAATTTTACTAAGAATATAATTTTTATTAGACAATAAAAAAAATAGATATTGCTAGAAAAGAATATAAATTCAGTTTTTTCATGGCTTAAATTATTTTTTTAAACAGCCATCTCCATCTCTATTTTCGGGTGTGGTTTATAATCTGTTAATATGAAGTCTTCATACTTGAAATCGACAATGTTTTTAACATCCTTATTAATTTCCAGTTTCGGGAATGGTCTTGGTTCACGAGAGATTTGTTGTTTCAATGGCTCCTTATGATTGAGATACACATGACAATCACCCATTGTATGTACAAATTCTCCTGGCTGTGAAAAAGAAAAAGATTCTTTAGCAAGAAATATTTTTACATGAAATTTGTACGATAATGAATTCTACGTAGAAATCGGCCTTTTGGAAAGTTCATGAAATTTTTATTTCAACATTAACTACTACTTCAAGAGAAATCGATTAAACCGTTCGACGTGATTATTTATTGTAACAAAATTAAGTCCTATTGTAATAAATTTATACAAATTTTTTCGTACACGTAATATTCTTTGCAATACTTTTGTTTATTTGACTTAAGTATATATGTGTGAAAAAATAATTTGTTGCAAATAACTGGTACTTGCAAATTGTTTTATGTTAAATTATTAGTAATTATCACCTTCAGATTCGTTACATGTGCAATCATACGCGTCAGCAGCGAGTAAGAGGCAATGTTGAATGGTACACCAAGTCCCATATCAGCACTTCTTTGGTAAAGTTGGCAAGACAATTTTCCATTTGCTACATAAAACTGAACAAGAGCGTGGCAAGGTGGAAGAGCCATTTGAGAAATGTCACTTGGGTTCCACGCGCTCATTATTATCCTTCTGTCATCTGGATTATTTTTTATCTTTTTAATCACTTCAGCCAGTTGATCAACACCTAAAAACAAATATTGAAATGAACGGAGACAGTTAAAAAAATTTTTTTTTGAAAGTAAATTCAGTAAATCCAATAATTTTATTTCAAAACTAATGTATCTTGCTTTACTGCTTAGCAGAATAGTTTAATTTTAAGTTATCAGAACTTACCAATAATGATGAAATAATCAATAAATAATTATTAAAATACCGGTTTTTCTTTGGGTTGTACATTTGACAAAAATAACAAGTATAATAAGTACCTTGGCCAGTGTAATCCGTGTGCATGTCCACATACTTGGCGCCAAAATGTCGCCACTGAAAGCCATATACAGGACCTAAATCTCCTTCTTCTCTGTTAGTTAGGCCAAGATTGTCCAAAAATGCACGTGAACCATTGGCATCCCAAATGTTGACGCCTTTCTCTGATAACTCTTTGGCATTTGTTGAGCCTCTAATAAACCAGAGCAGCTCCTCAACTACTCCTCTCCAGAAGACGCGTTTTGTTGTCAGTAGCGGGAAGACATCTGTTGAAAGAATCAACTTTTGATGTATTAATAAGTCCTTGCAATAGAATAAACGAAATATCTGAACGAGATGAAAATTTAAGAATAAAATACAAACCATCATGCAAACTGAATCGCATCTGTGTGCCGAAGATAGAATAAGTTCCTACGCCGGTACGATCTTTTTTTTGATCTCCTTTCGTGATAATCTTTTCAATTAAATTTAAATACTGATACTCCTCGTGCTCTTGATTTTCCTTTACTGTTCCTTTTTCTTCCATACTTTCTTTATCGTTTGACATGTTGACTTCTTAATCTTCAACAGTATATAAGACGGTATCAACACGCCTTTGTATATCTAGTATCTTTTTTGAGATTTGTAGATGTGCCCTTAAAAGTTATGTACGTTTCTGATTAGATCTATGAAAACATGTATTTTTTTCTTGTCATTGCTACATATATGTATCATATGATTGCACTTACCACCTTACCATAGTCTTGTTTTCATTTACAATCAAAAGTTTGAACAAAACCTTAAGGGTTTGTAATATCAGAAGCTGCAAGTTAATTTGTTAATTGGTGCATTGTACAATCAGCGCCATCTAGCGTGTGATTTTTCTCGTCGCTCATAGACCCTACTGACGTTTTTTTTTTGGCTGGCGAAGAAAAGCACAACTCAGATTTCGCCGTTCCAAATGACATGGAGAAATCTGAGTTGTGCTTTTTTTGTCCCCGTAAAACTGGCTATATTCGACGGGCCGGATACCCTACGGATGTTTTTTCGCTTCGGGTGTGATCTTCAAGAGCAAAGGCCGCCCCCACCAACGAAGTCCGATCACCGGATCACGTCCGAAGCAAAAAAACATCATCCCGTATATTTTCACACTTTTTTGTACAGTTTATTTAAGGTTTGCATGTTGGCAGTGAAAAACTATATAGGGTGTGTTCGAGTAACGCTCTCCGACAATTTACCGACAACTTAATTATGTCTTACGATATCTTGCGTCATGTTTAAGTTGTCGGTAAGTTGTCGGAGAGCGCTACTGGAACACACGGATAGGCATGATTCTGATTTCTAACGGACATCAAACGTGTGCGGACGTAGTCGGGCAGTTGGATCACGGCGGTCACGCAATATGGAATACCGACACATGATATGTACTGACAGTCACAAGCATTGAATACCGACTGTGTGTATCATTTATGTATACATATATTGCCTGCACTGCAGTGGAAATTCTCCAACATAAGTAAGTACGGCGCTGCAGATCTAAGATGTATTTTTATATTTTGTGGTTTTTGTGGCGGCCCTACTACGGGGCAACGGGGCTATAAGTAGTCTGCCACTAGCGCTGTCTGTCTTTTGACCGATCGTGGCCAACACGCTGTCAGAATCTGACAGTCAGATTTCCAGATTTTTGAGCTGAAATGTGTACCTAGTACCTAGCACCTACTTACCTACTTATCACACTTCGTAAACTATTAAATAAAAATAATACAAGATCTCCGTGGAATCAAAGTTTTAGTGTCAAATTATTGGTGACTATTTTTTAGGTGTTAGCAATATATATACACAGACACGCTTGTAGACACAGTTTCTGGATATTTTGGAACAATTCATAATTAAGCAAGAGATTTCAAAATTAATTTAAGGTTATGCCGGTCATTAGCACGATAAACAAATTTAAACATTTTTTACGTTTATGTTTCTTTAATAAATTATGAGACTATATGTAAAATATAATAAATAAGTCGTTGATATTTTGATGAATCAACACTTTTTTCTTTAATTATCTATATTTGAAAGTTCTAAAACATCTTTTATAGATCTTTTATACTTATGCATTTTTGCAAAAACCTGCTCTTTTCACGTATCGAACTATGAACGTGTTGCATCTTCTTTACCTACCTACACACTTTCATCAAACGGATTATTTATGTATCATTTTTTTGTTGGTTCTATATCTTATAAATAAGTTTAGTTAAACTATTAGAAAAATTAAAATGAAAAGTGAAAATTTTTACTTATACATACGTTCTTTTTCAGATAAACGAATATAATGGAGGAAACACAAATAGAATCACCGAGTTTTAAATTGAATTTTGAAATGCAAATTCATTGTGTCGAGTGGTCACCTTATGAATGGTCTGAAGATCTTATTTGCATTGGCTTGGAAAACAAAATAATTATTGCCTCAATAAAGTTTCAAGTACTATGGACATTTTAACCTATCAGTTGTTAAGTTAAAAATTATTTTTAACACAATTGAAAAATTTACAGGAGGAAGATAATCAACTGGAAGACATCAGTTATACTCAGCTCAAAGTGTTTAATCCTGAAGGAAGAGTTCACGCAATTGCTTGGAGTCCTGAAACATCGTTGAGTGTAGTTCCTAAATTATTATCGTTTTCTGTAGCTAGTGCTGATTTTAAAATTAGGTTGTTCAATAGCAATTTGATTGATGAAAGCGCTGTAGAGGTAATAAAATTTTTATTATTGTTATAAGTCTTAAATAAATTGAACTTTCCGATTGAATAATAATATCCATGAATTCTAGATATTAGAGGGTCATAAAAACTATGTAAATAGTATTGCTTATGATGGTGATGGTGAACTTCTGGCATCAGTGTCTGACGATCTCACTTGCAAACTCTGGGCAATTAAAGAGAATAGAAGCTGTATCTTGTCATTTGTGTTAACGGCCCCAGGAGTGGCTGTTAAATGGCATAATGAGGAACCTGGAAAGTTGTTGGTTGCTGAAAAGTTGGGCATTATACGTATGTACAACGTGAGGAGTCAGCAAGCCATCATGTCCATGGATGCCAGTAAAGTGCCACTAATGACAGCAGACTGGAGCCCAAATTCTTTGAAGGTCGCTTGTCTAGCTGCTGGAGAACTCTGTTTGTTTGACGTGTCAAGGCCAAGGTACTTGATACTTTAAAAACCCTAATTGAAATATAAATGTTGAAAATTTATTTTCAAATCCAATTTTTATAACTATTGTTATTTTAGTCGAGCACAAGAGACTAAAACACTTCATCTGGAAGGTGGTACAGTGATGAAGTTTTCTCCAGCTAACGAAAATCTAATTGCAACTATTGGTCGGCCTGATAATAATGTAAAAGTCGTTGATATCAAAGCAAAAGAAGTTCAATTATGCAGTCGCGTTCGACTTTATGGTGGACTGACTTGGCATCAAAGGTTACAAGTAATTTGTGCAGGAAGTGACAGAAAATTGCTTTTCTGGAAAGTACCGAATAAATGACGCTGGAGAAGTGTTTTTACGATGTTTTTTTATTTACATTTGTACATAGAGCTTATTAATGAAAAAAAGGTATAATAAAATGTAAAAAACTAAGTTTCTCTTTTACAAAAGTATTTGGTTTCATTATAATGACTGAAAATAATTTTTTACATTTAACAACTACAGATGGTACAGCCTATATTGGCTATACTTTCAAAGCAGCATGACATAATGCAAGATACTTTAAATGTAAGTAAGACATAGTAATTTATATCAAACTCAAAACAAAATATGAAAATGTAAAATACTTAATAGCAAAAAAAAAACAGACAGTATACTAGGAGCAAAATGAAACGAAGTGTTAATTACTATGTAAAAAAATTATTTTTTAAGAGAAATCGTAATAATAACATGAAAACGATAATTCAAACAAAAAATTTTAGTAGGAAACTTTCAAATTTTCTTATGAAATTGCTTTTAACCATGTATCTAAAACTAACTTGCTGACTTCTTCTCGTACTTCAGTAGACAATTTGCCAACGAATTCGTTTACAGCTCCATAACTAAACATCGGATTTGGTGACGAAACTCGGTTGTCAAGGAAACGATTCTTAGCGTTCCTTAATTGATCCAAACGTTCTATCAGAACTTCAGTCTCATCAATTTCTTCCTCGTTGTTACTCTTCATCTTACCTAGACATAAAAATAAGTTATGTAAGGTATTACCTTATTAAAAATATGATAATTTATCTGAACTTACTCATTTCACTAGACAATTTTGATTCCAGTTTTCTAATTTCATTAGCAGTTGTCCAAAACTTGACGGATTCTTTATCAAAAAGATCTTTAATATATTTTTTAACAGCCTCAACAATCAAACCCATACATTCAGGATTCTGATTATTGATTAGTTGACTTGTATTGAACCATTCGATTAAGGCTTGACATAAATAGGCACATAAGCTCACTGTTATATCACTTTTGTCGCTATTAAAAATATTGTTGGGATCTGTCACGTGTTTATTATCTAAAGCATAAAGGTACTTTATTAAAGGTAGATGTTTTTCATTTTCTTGTTCTCCTTCTTTTTCTACATCTGAATTAGAGTTCGAATTCTCGTGTTGAGTTATGAAGGCAAAAGCTCTGACTATATGTTGAAGGCTTTGATTTTGCTTATCAGACAAGGCTGCCAATGCAAATTGATGACTAACATTTATTAATATCTACAATATTAAACAATAGGATAACATCAAACGTATGTTAAAAATTTGTTGATAAGTATCATAAATAATATTAAAATACCATTTTTTTGCTCACTGAAAGAGGTATTACATCTTTTTGAAGCAATAACGAATACTTTTTTGGACACTTATCAAAACGACTGTTAAATGTTCTCAACAAAGAAATATTTGATGATCCAGCCATCCATTTCAAAATAGAATCATCACTAATATTGTCCAGAATCTGATTTAATTCACCAAATACATCTACTTCAACTTCACGGTACTGCAAAAGAAAGTGATTTATTAAAAAATAGGCAAATATTTGTACACACATCAACACGAAAATCAATATACTTGTATTTGAGGATTCTCCTTAATGATTGATTTAGCAGTAGCAATATCTGAATCCAGCAGAGCTTGCATCACTGCTTTGTCTGCCAAACTTATGATCAATTTATCTTGATCCTTGATTAATTTGGCGACATCAACTGCTAAAACCAAACTATCCAAATCTTTGCGACCTTCTAACAGCTTGGCAGCTGTAGTATAGTCTCCCAACTTTATGTAACTGTAATTTGTTTGTGTTTGTGAACGTGAAAATTTTTTTCAAATGCATTTCAGTGGTCATGTCAAATATTACTAGGTATACACACCATTCAACCGCACTCTGCCAGTTCCCGACCTTTTGGGCATAGTTAGCCCACCGAGTTAAAATGTTAACAATAACAGGATCTTTCGAATCTAATCTAGAAGCAGCAATAATATATGCCTGCCGGTAAAAATTTGCGGCATGAAGAACGTCTATGGCTTCACGAACTTTATTAATGCACAGTAGGTACGAAGCTGCTTTTTGAGGATTTTCTTCAAATACAAGCTGCGAGGAATAGGCATCACAAATTTGTTCATAAAACCTAAGAACCAAGAAAAAATTTTTGAATTGCTCTATTCAAAATGTCGTGCGTACTTTTTTTTGCTACTCACTCTTTTGATACGCTGGCCGCAAGAGATACAGAAAAATCAGTCAGTTTACTGTTTTTCATTGCTTCCAGCAAACTATCCTTCAAGTTCCCGCCAGTCCATTGATCGATTTCTATGATCGACTGGTGATTTTTGTTTGTATGCAACAATTGTTCTAAAAACAAAAAAAAAAAAAAAAAAAAGTTGAAGTGTGAATACATGCTTTTAATGTATAAAACGTAAAAAAAATTAGAATAATTACTTTCGTGGTTCAAAGCATCTTCGAGATCTTTTTTCGTTCCCAGCAAAGGTGAAACTTCAATGTTAGATTCTGCTTCTTTATCCTCTTCCTGAACACCATTCGTTCCGTTAATACATGACTCTTTGGTCGTACCGTTACATTTTTCATCATTTTCTACAGAATGCATGAGACTCCTTACAGAAGCAAACCAGAGCTTTTTGTTGGTTGAAATTTCGGCATAACCAGGGAAAAGAGTCTTCATCTTTGGTTTCTTTTTCTTTGCCTTTAAAACACTTCCATCTTCACTTTGATCAGCACCTAGCTCTTGACCGACATGTTCTCTACTGTCCTCACTAGGGTTCTTTTCACCATTTGTCACTTCTGATGTAACTTCAACCTCTTCAGCATTGTTACTATCTACTAGTACCAAGGTTGCTTTAACCACTTTTGTCTTCTTTTTCTTTGTTCTCTTACCCTTTGTATTTTTCGGTTTTAATTCACTCGCGGGTAGAGCTGTTTGATTGGAAATGCTCCAAATACGCAAAGTAAAGTCAGCAGATCCTGTGATAATCAAGTCTTGGGATAATGGACTCCACATGCAACAATGAATTGGTAGTTGCTGAGACGTATACGTAACAATCATCTCTTGTGTATCTACTTTCCAAACCTACAACAGTTAGGGATATGTTCTTTACCCCTATCAAAGAAATTTAACGCAAAGTGTACACGAAAAGTTATTTAAATACCCGAGCAGAATAATCATAACTGCAAGACACTAAATATCCGCTCATGTGTGGGCTCCAAGCAAGACCTACAACTTTGTCGGTATGACCATTCAATGTTGCAACAGTTTTGTAAAAAGTCTGTGGCTCTTCAGAAGTTTCTTCTTCCGAATTTTCGGTATTCAGAATTTCAAAAACAGTTATTGTAACATCATTTACAGCTACGGCCAAGTAATTTTGCATTGAAGAAGTGTTCAAATCTGACATAGTACTGTTTGGGTGCCAGATTAAACATTGAACTGGCTTGTTGAGATCGTGGATCACATATTTTTTGGTTAAAGTGCGATCGAAGATTGAGATTGATCTAAAAGAAATATTTAGTGATTAATAAAGAAATCATAAAAAAAACGCAGAAGTTATTTACCCATTATTAAAGCCTATGGCTAGCAGAGAATAATCTGATTTCCAAGAAAACTCAGCACAATTTTTATCAATTACAACTGTAGGATCTGGGGAATAAAATAAAACTCGGTAAAATAATATAGTGTATTATGTAAAATGAAATATTTAGTACACTTACCTGAATTCAGAGATTTCGGATCAAAATATACTAGTTCACCCTCTGCAACAGCATACAACCCGTACTCTTCAGCTTTCAGTACTGGACCCCAACCCAAGGTATAAATAGTTTGTTTAAAAAATTGTTTAGCCAATTGTGGGGGCTTTTTTGTATTAGTATCGAATAAACCAATACGCCCTTCGTCTGTTCCAAATGCTAAGATGTTTTCTTTTTCTGGGTGCCAAGAAAGCTGTGAACATAATTATTTTTTTATTTAATAAGCCTAGCTTAATTAAGCTCCTGTATTTTGTGAAATGATGTAACTTACAGATCGCACTTTTCCTTTGATTTTTTCCCACAATATTTGTACTTCTACCATATTATCGTGAGGCTCAGATAGATTCCACAAGCGAATCATACTGTCACCTACTCCAAAGGCAATTAACGATGTATCAATAGGACAAGCAGCTACGCAATAAACAAAACCTCCTAGTGTTGGTATGACATGTTCTATAGATATTTTACCCTCTGTGAGACTACAACAAACAACCTGCCGATCTTGAGATAAAGTCCATATTGATTTTCTGTAGGATAAAAAAATGTATTTTAACGATTACTTCATTAAAACTTGATGGAAAAATAAACATAAATCACGAATTGCACAGTTTTCATTGGCTTACATGGTAGTTTTTGCCCTCCAGTTTTCTTGCTCCAAATCTTCAAGTATTTTTTCAGTGAGTTGGTCAGCTAAACCAGCAATTGCAAATAACCCATTGCTGTGTTGACCATGAATTAAAGTTGGAGTAAATTTTTTTTTTTGGCATCCTGATAAATCCCATAAAAGCAGTTCTCCATATTGTGAGTTTGATACAAGAGTTTTGGGTGTCAACCAACAAAGAGCTGTGAAATTCATTTTACTTCTGTGCTTACTTATGTCCAAAGGCGTATTTGGAAGTGAAAAATTAAGTTGCGAGCGGCCATTACTCCCAGCTTTCCAAAAATATATTGATCTAAAAAAACACATTTGTATTAAGAACTGAGCTATGCCAGGAAAAATAAGTTTCAAAATCTCCAAGTGCTGTGACTTACTTGTCTTTAGCACCACTGGCCAGCAGAAAATCTTTATTGTCACTATTATCAAAAATATTATCAGGAACTGGACACCAAGACAAGCTGGTAATCTCCATGTCGTGACCTCTTAACTTATATTTAACGTGACCTCGTGAATTGACAATGTAAACCAAGCCAGACTTGGCACCTACTGCTATTAAGCTACTATCGTGAGGACAGCAAGCCAAACAGGTTGTATTTACTTTCCCGCTACTGTTTATAGGAAACTTTTGTGCATTATTATTATTTATATTTATTGTTCCCAGTAAACCATCTAGAGTCACGTAGGAGATGAGATGTGGGTCATGTTTGGACCAATCTACTGCAGCTATTTTACTTCCAGTCTATGAACACAAAATTACTTATTAATGTAAACAAGTAAACGTTTTTTTTTTTTTTTTTTTTTTTGTTAACCTGAGATATCATTCAAATACCTACATCTAAATTATTGTACTTGTTTTTAATACTACAAGAGGCCATATTCCATACATTGACAACATTGTTTTCTGAAACAGATGCCAAATAATAGCAGCTATTTTCTTCATCTAATGGTGAAAATGCTATCGATGCAACCCTCTCCAAGTGAGCCTTATCAATAATTGTGTAATCAAGGCCCTTAGCATTTTCTTTCTTTTTAGCTACAATTATGGAATTCCTTGCTCCCCAAGCAACAGTACCATCACCAGCACACGCAATGATAGTACTCAAATACCAATTTGGGGAAGGAGGTAGAGTGATTTCATTCATCTTGACTTGTTTCTGTTCCAATCAAACCAGAAATAAATTCTTCAGAAAGTGAGCATTTATGTTAAGATAACAAAAATAATATATGCTAAAAAGTTGCACGAAAAAAACAAAATTTGTTCAGAAACCAAATTTACGTATTATAAGAACTGCCAAGTAAAACGGATATGAAAAAATCAATAAAAATAGGATTATGACTTTACATGTTGGAATATTAAATGACATTTCACACAAGTATCGAAATTTATGGAAAAATTTAATTACAACGTGTGGAGGGGTATAAAGGTATTATTTAGAGGTTAGTTTATCACCCTTACTTTGTCCAAAAATCAAGATAATTACAAAGTTCGTGATGTGAATTTCGGTAGAAAACGCAAACTATAATATAGTAGTTAGTAGTGATTTAGTTGACGAATCTTTAAATTAAATGCTTATCACAACCGCACCTCGCACTGCAATCAGCAATTTACTTAAGATCAGTGTGTATTTTTTGACACATGCAATGCATAAAAATAAAAGCGGCATATAAAGCGGCATTTTCCATCTTATATCTTTTCATCTTTCATCTTTATACAGCGCTTTGTAAAAAAAAAAAAATGTTCATCTATACTTCAAAGTTTGGTGCGTTTTTTTACCTTTTAATTTTTTTAGGGGTAATTGATACATAACAAATTACTCATTAGTTCTGATGCAAATAAATAATTATACCATCTTAAATAATTCTGGAAAATTATTGTATTTAATTATTATTTAAAAATACATTAAAAAATGCGACTAAATTTATGAAAAATTTAAAAGTTAAATGTTTGCATCCAGACACAACTACTTATTATATTTTTTACCATAGTCTTATGAGTTTAAAAAAATTTCTCTAGCTCATCAATAGGTATTATTAGCGCTATTGCATCAGTTTTTAGATATTTCTATTTATTATCGTTATTTAGACCGTAATAGTATATAGAATAAGATTTACAACTTTCCTCGACGAGACATAAATTTAAAATATATTTGTAGCAAAGTGACTGATTATTTCATGATAAAATATTTTTCTCAGCTTTAAGAGGATAAAAAAAGTCACATACGTGTTGTACAAATTTGTGGTGGTATAATCAACTTTATATATCGTAATAGAAAAAATTCTCTTTTTTCATTGTTTGTAAATGCTTATTGCTTTCATCAAAATTGTACGATATAAAAAAGTTGTATTTCGATGAGGTCTTTAATTTTTTTCGACCACACAAAGACCTTTTATAAAAAATATAAAATATATACTAAAAAAAAAAACCGATTGTTTTATTCGTACTTTCCAATGCTTTCTTCAATTTTTCAAGTTTGAAAATAATTGTGAAAAAATAAATAAAGATAATACAATTATACAAGTATATAGTAANAGTAAAATATTACCTTTTGGCTATAAAAATACTTAAAAAATACTCTTTGAAATAATAAAACAAATAAATTATTATGTTTCACAAGTACCTATGCAAGTTAGTTTATAAGACTTAGTTTTAAAAAATGAAGGAGAAAATGTAGGTACTTTTATTTGTCTCAGTTTAATTATTAGATTTTCTATAAATTTTCGGTAATCTAATTCTAATTTTGTCGTCACAATACACTCACTTTCAGCAAGAGAAAGATTAGAGACATCTTTTGAGACACATGACATCTGCTGCACTCATCACTTTTGTTATCCTCGGAAGCGAACAGACTCATCAGTGCCGGTCCAGCGCTGCGAAAGTGTGGACGAGAGATAAGCAAATGAGTCATTATGACATTTTGTCGTGGAGGTGGCGCATGTACATATAATAGATGTAAATATTCTTGTATACACATACAAATTGTACTTAAGTGAGTCAGTTTCTTGTTTAAAAACTTTATTTATATTGCGAGTGAAGTCTTTGAACGATTGTTCACTATCTTCGTGTACATTTTTAATTTTAGTGTCATAATATTGTTATATACCAAGAAAAAAAACTCTCCGGAGTGTACATCGGAAGTAGGTGTGTATAAATATACGTTTATGTGGTATATTTTACTAATACCGTAGACTCGCGTACGCATAAACTTTTGTCTCTTCGTTTCCAATTGTGCTCCGATCCTTACGTATTTATGTACATATATTTACAAAAGAACATTATTCTGCGAATCATCGGTTAAATACATATACCTATAACGGGTTTTACCGTTTGAATATTCGCAAGCGTGCGCGTATTTTTTTAAAGCAAAAGTGTCGCATGTGTTTGAAAAATTCGCACAGTGTTGTGTATAGAACAAAGATGAAAAAGCCACCGATTTTTCTTTGCCTCGCCGTTTTCGCGATCCTCGACCTTGTTTCCGGCGATTACTATTTGCCAGCCTTGAAGGAGATTGTTAACAACATCGAGTCTACAGCCGAAGACGACGCGGAGAAAAACAATGTGCCTGGCAAGTACTGGAAGTGCAATCCCGACGTGGAAATGACAACAGTAAGATAAAAAATTACTTTTAAAGGCTACGAATAATTTTTTTTTTTTTTTTTTTTTTCTTAGACCCCTGTACGAAACATTATACTTGATTTAAAAAAAAAATCACAATACATATACGCAAATACGCGCAATGAAGATGAATCATACAAGTCACGTTTTTAATATTTTCTTTGTCTACGATATTATTGAATGTTGACACGTACTGTAGAGGAAAAAAATTCATAAGCGATAAAAGAGGATTAAGTATAAATATACTCTTCAAACAAATTATTTATCGATCATAAGTCTGTTGACGGTTTCAATCGGATGGTATCGAAATGTATTACAAAGGAACTACGTGTATGAATCTACAACTCTTTAGAAGTCAGAAAAGATTGTTTTGTAAAATTTTCCGAACGGCACGAGTGGATAAGTTATATCATATAATTTTAAAAGGTATATGATTGGTAAATACATACTGAAAAAAAAAAAAAAAAAAAAAAAAAAAAAAAAAAAAAAAAAAAAATAATAATAATAATAATAATAATAATCTAAAGAAGTAAGCGTGCAAAATTAATTTTGGATACGATCTGACTACTCTACCCCATGTTGTATATTTTCATTTTCAACTGTACGATACAAATCGCGTGGGGGGGTTTCTATTACCGTCACTTCACTTTTACGCACATGCCGAAAAAAAATACCATTCCCTCTAAAATATACACACTTGTAACCCAAGTTCATGCGCGTAGAGCGAGAAAAACTACATAATTATGTACTTGCCCCAGATCGGTACGTGTTGTACCACTGATACTTAGGTATATAATGTATATGTATATTACCCGGAGGTACAATTTACAAGTCGAGCCGCATTCCAGTTTGCACGCAATTGTACGTTTTCTCCCCATGATTAATTTTCGATCAGAGATTTTTTAAGCAACGTTCGTCAAAAACACAAATAAAACATCATCATTGCCGTTGCCTTGAAAGTCGAAGCTATTCCTTTTCTCTCCCAAACCGATCACTCGTATAGAACGTTCGTGCAACAACTTTTTTACAAAATATTTTAAAAAAATGATTCGCGCGCGATGAATAAATCTAAAAAGGCAGCCTGTACTATGCATACACAGCACACAAAACAACACAAGTTCCGCGAATGACTCATCCACCTAGCCGGTCTTATCGTTGAACTTTTTATTTATTTTTTTTTTTTTTTTCACCCACAGCCGCAATTGATTAGAAAAGAAGGGTATCCAGCGGAGGCGCACGTCGTACTGACCGACGACGGCTACTTGCTGACGATGCACCGGATACCAAAAGCCCCGGGCTCGCCGGCTGTTTTCCTTCAGCACGGCTTGCTCAGCAGCTCCTCCGATTGGGTCATCGCCGGCAGAGACAAGGGGCTCGGTAAGACGGCCTCTCTCTCTCTCGCATCGATCGACCACTGCCATTTTTTTCTTTTTCATTTTAAATATTTTTTTTGCCCAGTTAATATTTATTTTTACAAACACAGCGTTTATTCTGTCCGATCTTGGCTACGATGTCTGGTTGGGGAACGCACGCGGCAACACTTACTCCAGGAGCCATGCAAATTATTCCACGTCCGACGTACGATTTTGGGATTTTAGGTAAACCAAGACGGTCGTTTTTACACCTGAAAACAAATAATTTTCGATTGAAATATAATTTTGTTACGACAAGTATCATTACGAATTGAACGTTTGAAGAAGAAAAATAAGCTATCCGTTATTAAGTACATTGAATGTACATTTGCATGAAAATAGAACAAAAACTCGGCGAGTCGTGTCGCGGGTACGTTTGTGAATGAAAGCGTACTTATATTATATACTCGTTCATGGGTTTGTTTTTCGTTTGTATACGCATTCGTACAGTTGGCACGAGATGGGCACCTTTGATTTACCAGCGGCCATATCATACATCACGAAACTGACGCAATTGGAAAATGTCTCTTACATCGGACACTCCATGGGAACAACGATGTTTTACGTCATGGCCATCGAGAAGCCGGAAGTTGCCTCGAAAATCAATGTGATGCTCAGCTTGGCCCCGGTGGCTTTCGTGGGCCACATGAAGAGCCCGATAAGGCTACTCGTGCCGTTTATACGCGAAGCCGAGGTAAGTAGGTCATGGCAATTTTCGAACAATAAATTTGAAGTTATGCATATATAAATTTAAAAAAAAATGTCGTTTCTGCAGTTTATTTCTCACTATCTGGGAAGGGGTGAATTTTTGCCTGAAAACAAGATATTGAAATTCCTCGCCAAATACGGCTGTGAGCTTTACGTGACCGAGGAAAAAATTTGCGCCAACATGCTCTTTGTCATATCTGGATTCGACGAGTCGGAATTTAATTTCGTAAGAATAATAGTGATAATATTATAAAAAGCCGTGAATTTTTATACAAATCACCGATGGACTAAAAAAAATGTATTTTTTCACGGGCAGAGCCTCATGCCCCTGATTATGAACCACGCACCAGCCGGGGCATCGACCAAGACTATCCTTCATTACGCCCAAGAAATTAAATCCAAGAGATTCCAGAGGTACGATTACGGCGACAGTGGCAACATGAAAAGGTACAACAGTACAACGCCACCTGATTACGACTTGTCGAAAATCAAAGTGCCGATCGCCGCGTTTTGGGCGGACAACGATTGGCTGGCGAGTCCTATAGTAAGTTGCCATACGGTATATGACCGAAATTAATATCGGTAACGTACCTATTATATATTTACGTCGCAGTCGAGCAAAGGAAACACGTGTACGTGTATTGAATACTTACCGTAAAATTTTTTTCAAACAAATCCAAGTGTTGGACATGAATGGATGACGATTATATTGTTTTTCGCAATACAAAAATATCTGCCCGGTTCACTGTGTTCAATCACGTCCTTGTTATATGTATAATACTTATTTGCTCGTTTTCGTTTCGTATTTTCAAAAAGAAAAAAATATCTATTCCATCCAATGTTTGTACACGATTACCGATTTTTCATTTTTAGGATGTAAAGAGACTCTGCGCCTACCTGCCGAATAAAATAATCGATTACAAAGTAAATTATCCGAAATTCAATCATCTCGACTATTTGTGGGCTATCGATGCACCGACGTTGGTCTACAAAGAAGTCCTGGCTGTTTTACAAAAATACCGATGACACGATGGCGTTGGGATCATAACTTGGAAAATATTATATCTAAAATAAATCGTTATTCATATAGTTAAATATTCATCAATGTGAATCGTTACGATACTAGTCGTGTAATAAAAAATTAAATACGAGTGCTCACACGTTTTACACCTAATTTCATGAATGTATCATTTTTATAATTGAATTATAAATTATTTTACAAGTGCAACGAAATAAAAGCTTAAACATTCAAACATTCAGACAATTTTTTTTTTTATCAAACCTGATGGTCAATACAGGAAAGTTATTTATAAACTGCGCACAGCAGGTGCGATCAAAAAGTTTTAGCATCCATAAATTTCCTCTTGTTCAACATTTGCGATGCTTCACATTATTCCAAAGTCCCAAAGTTCACGAATTTTGGCCATCGAGACGGAGAGTTTTTCAGCCAAAATGAGATGGTAACAAAAAACTTTGATCAAGATGAAGGCGCCATGTTGATGCAGTCGTGAAAAACAAGTTTTTTTTTTTCCGCGGAAAAATTTGCATCACGCGTTTTACCGATTTTTTTCCCCCTGTCACGATGTAATGTGTTTCACGAGTTGTCTACTGGATCGTTATAGTGCATCGGTCGCGTCAGTTGATATCACACGATATTTTCTCTCGAGATGAGCCGTTTACTCTACTTTTCGTTCCTTTTGTCATCACCTGGCGTAACAATAATTTTGGCAATCCCAAACGATGATGGCACTGTGTTCCTGAAAAACAACAATGTCACCTGTAGCCAAAATCCAGAGGAAGACATGACAGCGGTGAGTATAACTACGTGAACAATGTGTTGATGATAAAAAATGAAAAAAGAAAGACAACTAAGAAAAAAAATGAAAAAAATGAATCGTCATACCATACGTGTAGATCGAAATAATAAGGAACTCGGGCTACCCGGAAGCCGAGGAGCATCTCGTAGAGTCGCGAGACGGCTACATCCTCGGTTTGCACAGAGGCCCCGGCCCCGAGGGGTCCCGCGCCTGGCTAACCCTCGGGAAAAACAAGGCCTTGGGTTCGCGTGAACACAATCATTTTGCATCAATGTTTTTTTTTTTCAATTTTACTTTTTTTTTTTTTTTTAGCTTACGAGCTCGCGAACAGCGGCTACGACGTGTGGATGGGAAATGCGCGCGGCAATGTTTACTCGCGACGACACAGCAGCCTCTCGCCGGACGACTCTGCCTTTTGGAATTTCAGGTGACGCGTCTAATATTACGACACCATTGCGCACGAAAGACCAGAGCTCGACCATTGTTTAACGAGATTGGACTCCTTTTTTTGTTCATTGCCAGTTATGGTATTGTATGCGTGGTCTTACAGAGAGCCGATTTAATGGTAAAGTAGCGAATTTTATATGTATGCGCGCTTTTTTCTTTGGAAAAAAATAAACATTGTTTTGTTTTTTAAAGTTAGGAAAAGTGTATTGCATCAGTATGGTTCCAACTACGAAACGGTAATAAGCATATCTTGGAATAATCGCGCAAAAAAAAAAAAAAAAAAAAAAAAAAAAAAAAACTAATTTTCCATTCACCTTTTGACCCCCTCAAAGGACGATTTTTCGCGAAATTCCTTGTATATACGTAAACCATGTACACCTATTGTACCGTGTAGTTTCCACGAGATGGGAGTCTACGACCTACCCGCGGAGATCGAGTACATAGCGTCGCTGAAAAACGATTCTCTGGTCTACATCGGTCACTCGATGGGCACGACGATATTCTTCGTAATGGCGAGCGAGCGACCGGAAATACTCTCCCAAGTCGAGTTGATGATCGGCCTCGGTCCGGCAGTTTATTTCAACCACATCAGAGGATTGACTCGGATGATGTATCCGTTTTTGGAGTCTTTGCAAGTGAGTATACTTGGATTTATGCATACCTATGAATAACCGATACCGATTTTTTTTTTCTTCTTCTTTTTTTCCAACTTTAGATGCACACGGACGGACACGTGGAGCTCCCGTTTCTTCCAGCTTTCAATTATGTATCGAAATGCTTCTGCAACCGATCTCCGTACAGAGAAATTTGCAGGGACCTGGTTTTCTCGATCACCGGTTTCAACCCCGACAAGTTTGACATGGTAGCTCTGTTTGACAGTTATATTTATTTGTTATAACTTTCTCGCTGCAATGTATAGTGATTAAACAAATCGCCGGCTGGCACTTCTCTGAAGGTGGTCTTTCATTACGGACAAGCTTACAACACAAAAAAATTCCTCAAGTACGATTACGGCATGACAAAAAACATTGAAGTTTACAACAGTTCGATCCCACCTGAATACGATCTGTCGAAAGTCACGGTGCCGGTCGCCTTTCTTTACGGTCTGAATGACTTTGTCACTCCACCGGAGGTATAAGTACAATGTCACAACAGCAACTCCATCCATTTGATGCACATTATTTTTCACGACTTTCAGGATGTAGTACGATTGTGGAGAGATATGCCGAAGAAAATCGGCTTGTTTCAGATGGAGGATCCGAAATTCACTCACACGGACTTCGTCTGGGCCTCTCATGCGCCAAAACTCGTCAACTCGAAGATTATACTTCTTTTGAACAAACATGACAATCGTCACTCTCCCACGGTCTAATGTTAACCGACAAGGAAGTAAGCATGAATTAAATCTGTGAAAAACAAACTCGTAATTTGTTGACATTATTTGTTTGTTATATTATTTATAATATTTCCTCTAGCCAACGATCAAAAATTTTCAATACTAATACACGTTTTTGATGTAGTCGGTATCGGTTTTAAAGAACTTGCAAGAAACAAACCTCTGTTTGCATATACCATCACGTACTTTTAAAATCTTCTGCTGTAACATATTTATAAACATATTCTTTGAAACATTGATCATTTTAAAATAATTACATTCAAATTTCGGTGCGAAAGTCAAGTCAAGTGTCTAAATAGCAAAAAAAAAAAAAAAAAAAAAAAAACAAGTTTTAACTGCAAACGTAAAAAGTACACTAGAACATGTATACAACAGACGAGTGAATATTTTTTTAAACATTATTTCGTGGCATTTACAGTTTTGATGTAAGTTTATGGCCAAACAACTTGACAAATATCATAAAAATGTATTGTACCAGACAATAATGAGGTACACTGAGTACCGGTATCTTTTGGATCGCCATGAAGTTAAAAAATTTTCTGGTTTCCTTCAAGTACTTCAAACCATCGTTATAACCATAACAGAGCAAATTACTCTGGAGTTTATGTATAAAATTATTAAACTTTTCTTTATTGTAATCTTTAGATTTGCACGTTAGATCCTGGAAAGAAAAAATAAAGCCAACGATCGTACATTTATTTTCTCGAGGGGAAAAAAAAGTAACGAAACGAAAAATTCACACCTCAAAGGATACCAAAGTATCTGTAGACCAGTCGTTGATGCACGCCTCGCAAGTGCAAGTAAAAGAGTAAAACTTTTCAAGTTCCCTTATTCTCTCGATTCTCGGTGCCATCGTGAATTTGCAGTTACGGTAAGCTATGAATATCTAAAAAAAACAACGAGCGAGCCACGTAAAAAATAAAAAAATTTAAACTTACCGAGAGCACAGCAGAGTAAATGTAAAAAAAATGTGTTCACACAATGTATTATACCTGCGAGTCTTTTTGAATTTTTTGCCGAGCAAAGACAACCAATTCGTTGTCCTCCGTGACAAAGTACTCGGCATTTGGATTGCAGCTGTGGTTCATATTGCTGCAAAACTGATAAACACCAGTGCCCAAATGATCCGTTTTGTCGCAGTTTTCGGAGTAGCCGTAGATCTAAAAAAAAAAATAAATAAATACACCCCTTCTGAAATCCTAAAAAAGGTATACAGTTTTACGGATGAACCGTGTAGGGTCTAACATAAAAGTGCTTGAACGGAAAGACGAGAAAACTCCGGAGTACGAGAGCCGTTACAAAAAGGACGTCCTGGTCCTCGACGATCATCCGCAACGAGTCACTGGCGCCGCGACGCGATTCCCCGAAAAACAAGGTCTCCTTCACCAGTAGATACGCAACCCTGCAAGCAAACAGCGTCCACGTCGTGACCTCGTGCTCGGGATAGTCGGAGAACTCGCGAGCCTTGCGACAATAAATCCCACCGACGTCTAGATTGTAGATTTCGTCCAAGCCATAGGTCACCGAGCAGTCGACTGAAAACACATAAGTACGCTATCGTGACTGTAAAACATATAACACGATGTGTGTATATCCAAACAAACCTCCACCGGAGCTCCGTAGATGCGCGACACTGTTCCTGAGCTTGTCGATGCCACCGACCCTGTGGACAATGGCCAGCACGGCCTTGACGAAGGTCAAACCGGTCAGGCAGCACAGATCCTCGTCGTTGGTCCTCAGCCGGGCTTGGACGAGGCACTCGTAGCTGTGGTACTCGAGCCATGCCTGGCGCTTGCACGTGGACGAGCAGTACACGCTGTGGATGCAGTAGTCGCAATCTCGCGCCGCCCAACAGGCCTTCAGGCAGTGCGAGCAGTAGACGTACGTCCTGTGGGGACATACGAAGGTCAGGGCGCTCCTCTCCACGGCCACTACCTCGCCGGGGCTGATGTTGCGGATGGCCCTCACGTGACGCCCGTACTTGTCGTCCCCCTCGCACAACTTCAGAGCTCGGGATGTGAAGGGCGAATCCACCGCCGCTCTCGACTTCAGTATGTGCTTTTGCTTTAATAATTTTTTTTAAATAATTATTACCATCGGATATTTGTACATATATTCGAGGGTGCAACAAACAATGGGAGGGTGGTCCACACTCACGTTGAGTTGTTCCGCCTCCGCGGTTTCCAGGTCGCTCATCCACTGGCTCAAATCGATATTGCGGCGTCTGGGGGAGTACCGGTGGTTGGCCAGGTTCGGATTGTCGTTGTCGGCCGTCGAGGATTCGTCGATTCGCCCGTTGCGCAATAACATGAGCTCCTGTCGCGCCGTGCATTTGAGATTTTGCGTCGAGTCCACGTTGTCGGTGGGGTTCCTCGAGCGTTGCAGGTACTCGCCGACTCTCCTGGGATTTTTCGCCTTGCGGTCCTCACCTCCGAGGGTCGGGACTATCGAGCCGCTTATGCCGGTCTGCCCCATCATCGAGACGATCAGGCGTCTCTCGTCGTCGAGTCCGTCGTCGCGATCCATACTTTGCGATCGGACTTGTGTTTTTTTTTTTGTTGTTTTTTTTTGCACGAATTTGCCTAGAACAAAATCACACATCGGTACATTTTTTTATTATCTTTGGCTAATATATTTGTATACCTTTCGGGTTTTCACCCTAGCGCGCGGTAAAGTATATATACGCATTCTTCAACCTTCGTTCTTCAGCTGAACAAGCTCTTATTGTTTACTCGAGAGCTACGAACAATGTACATATAGTATACATGCATTTTCATGATATTAGAAATTAAAAGGAAGGTAAAAAAAAAAAAAATAAAATAAAATAAATAATATTCACCTACACTGTTCACGTTGCAATAGAGGGAAGGAGAAACTCTGTTGGATACTCGTCCGTGGATACAAAACAAGCTAAATATCTGCAGTTAGTGAAATATATATTACATTGTCAACAAAACTTTGCTTACGAGAGTATATAAATATATGCGCACGTTTAGAGTCACCTGATCAATTGGCGCTGTATTGATTGATAATTTGAGTTTTCTATCTATATACATTGGGCAGAGTATAGGAATCAGTGGATCGTGTAAACCAACTCAAATCACAAAACTGAAGGGCGGATAGCCTGTACACTCGCGTTGATTGAAGCAAATTTTATTTACAAACATTGACCAAGTAGGTGTTGAGACTTGGAGGCATGAATTTGTTTCAAAATTTATTTTTATATGAAATCATCCGAAACGTGGGTTATTCCGAATATCTTGGAAAATCATGGATCCTCAATAAATTTTCAATTATGCTCAAATAAAAATGTCTCTTGAAAATTACTAAAACATTATGTTTACGGGGGCTAAAGTAACACAGGAATTATTGAGGGACACACTTTTTTTTCAATAAAGAGAAAAAACCAGAAGTGTAACGCTAGAATTTTTCGAAAAAGTTTGAAATTTATTACGTTTTTTTTTTTTTTTTTTTTTTTTTTTTTTTTTTTTTTTTTTTTTTTTTTTTTTTTTT